AAAAACTATGCATAGCACATCATTTGAATGAATGAATGGCCATAGAATAATAAATTATGAGTTGGAAGATAATGTCATCCAAAGAATCCTCAGTGATATATTATGTTCAATGTTAATCCTATGATCAGTATATTCCTAATCTTCTCCAGCCAAATGTTGAAGTCAGAGTCAAAGTTTATCTCTAACTTCTACTATTTCAAATCTCCACTTTTCCAATGAACTGAATCAGTATTATACAGGTTCCTACAACTCCAGTAGGAAATACAGAAAAGGATAAAACACATCAGAATCACCTGAGCCTTGATCATTTTCTTTGGTCCTTATAACACTGCCAGCAACTGGGATGTTCTATGTTTGTCTTATCTGGATCAGCTCTAATGATGCTCACAAATTTAAATCTCTCATGAGGACATCCCAAAAATAATAATACCAGGCACTTCCTTCCTCCTTCGTCTAAGCTGCTGGTGATGCACCATCGACAGGCTGATGGGAGAATACAATGTGAGTAACACATAACACGTAGGTCCAGATGCTGTTACTGTTCTTTTCCCTCTTCTTAACACACAAAGTCCCCAATACTGTTAACGGTGCCTTACTGAGTGATGGGAATCATGCTTATACCATTAGCAATAAAATCTAAAACTCATAATTTTCAGACATGTGAATGAAATATGACTTTATAACAAATCGAGATTGGGTAATCAAATATAAATGTCAAAAAGAAGAAACAAAACATTTGGATCCCTACCTCACAGCATACAAAACTAAAAATTCCTTACTGTGTGACTCTCAAAGTGAATGACAAATCAATGAACCTTTAAAATTATTATGTTAATTAAAGCATCTGGAAACATTTTAAACAGGCTATATAAAGGGCTATTATAAACTAAAGATTATTTTATAGAAGAACTATAAATTGTACAATCACTTTAGAAACACTTTAAAACTCACCATCAAGTAGAGTTAAACATATAAGCTGCAGATAGGACACAGGAGAACTGCTGTACAGAGCCTCTGAGACTCTAAAGTCACGACAGGATGCTAATGAGTGTGTACCTCAGACCTTGAGGATAGAAGTCCAACTCTTAACATATGTCAAAACCAAGACTCCATAATCAACACGTATGACATCTATTAGATTCAAATATACATATATGTATATATATAAATAAATGATATATATGTATAAATGAAGAAATATACATGCCCCAATAGTGAGTGCACTTTTGAATCCCAATATAAATAACGTTTTTAATGTAGCATTATTTGTAGTACCTAATGCAGTTAGATCAGCAGTTCTCAAAGGGTTGAGACACCTTTGAGGGTCGAACGACCCTTTCACAGGGGTCGTCTGATTCCTAACAGTAGCAAAATTACTGTTATGAAGTAGCAATGAAAGTAGTTTTATGGTTGGAGGGTCACAACATGAGGAACTTTATTAAGGGGTCACAGCATTAGGAAGGTTGAGAATCACTTAGTTAGACAGTTGGCCTATACAAGTGTACAGTCTTTCTAACTATGACCCCTTGGTGAACTTCCAAATTATTTATGTGGGTTGATCGCCTGCCAATATGAATGAGGCAAAGGAGCCCATCATAGTGGTTACTGTTGGGCTACTAACTACAAGGTCAGCAGTTGGAAACCACCAATTTCTCTTCGAAAGCAGGATAGGGCTTCCTTCTCCCACGAGTAACATGGCTTTCTACTCCGCTACAGAGTTCCAGTCTCGGAAACCCACGGGGGCTGTTTTACTCTGTCATATAGGCTCACTATGAGCCAGTGTTAACTTGATGACAGTGAGTTTGGCTTTTTTTGGTTTAAGAGGACTGGGCAGCTTGCCCAACAAGACATTGGTACCTTTGTGCCTTGTGGTTATGTAAATAAACTGTCTGAAACCTAACCTAAGGATTAGTCACATTGGAAATCATGTTAGGACTAATTCAGCATTTCAGAGACAGAAACTTGGATCTCACTACCATCAAAAATGAGGAGCCAGTAGTAGGGGCCTTTGGACCCTAGATTCTTGCATTGAAACTCTTCAATCCAGAAGACAGGGAGCTGTGACACAAGAGAGAAAATGATGGGGAGAAGCAGCAACAGACACATGGTGGCAGCAAAACCAAGAGACTGGGAGAGAGCAGTGGGTTTCTCAGGCCACAGAACAAGAGAGCTCAGTGCCTTTGGGCAAGAGGCTAGTAGATGAAGTAGTGTACATTTGAGTACTTATCTGGGGAACTAGATTTGCCAACCCACACAGAGCTGAGTGTGTTTGGTGTGAGGCTAAGGGGAAGAGTGAGCATTTATCTGCAGAACTAAAAGACCCTTGTAACATTTGCCCATTTAGGACAGAAGCCAGGAGGTTGCAGGGCCTAACTTACCTGCAGGTATGGCTGTCAGGATACTGTCCCAAAGAATTGTACCTTGAGTCACTGATGATCCTAAATTTTGTTTTCGGGTAGAAAAGTGACCCCTTGGTGAACTATAATTTAAGGAGAACATTTACTACACTTTAAGAGACAACAAAAGACACACACACATCATATGGATAACGGAGGTCATTAGTAGTTCAAATGCAACTGAAGATTCACAGTCGTGACTCTGCATAAATAGGGCACAGAACAAAAGGCCATGTCACAGATCATGATTGGTGGATCAATACATCACAGATACAGGTGTGACTGTAGCAGCAGGAATGGGGCCATAATTGGGACGTGCACATTATTACATAGAACGACTTACAAGAATCATCCAGGGCCTTCAAACTGAGGCAGTCAAGGCCAGACTCATGACAATGGCCCCTGTGCTGTCCGCATTAAGTGAGCTCCATCAAGGATACATGTAAGCAGGCCCATGGAGAGGGCTTGCTGGAGAGGAGTGCAGGCAATCTATTTTCTAAGGCATTCTCCCCAAGTGGAAGATGATCTACATTCTTGGTTAATGATCAGAAAGAATTCGATGGAGGCTTAATCAAAGTGGGGATGCAGCAAATGGACAGAGTTGTCGCTGTCATCAGCAACACAAACCTTAAACCCAACTCACTGCCACCGAGTGGATTCTGATTACAGTGACCCTTTAAAGGGAGGTGGAACTGCCCTTTGTGGATTTCTTAGACTATCACTCTTTACAAGATTGGAAACCTTGTCTTTCTCCCCACGAGTGACTTGTAATTCTGAACCGCTGACCTTGCAGTTAGCAGTCCAATCTGTAACCACTATGCTACCAGCTTTTGCAAATTGGAGTGCTCACAATTTAAGCTCTAATACAATTATAAACGGTTATGTAACCAGTGAATTCTATAATTCAGGGAGATGCTCAAATTGCTCAGACCCTGACCAATGGGACAGCCTGGGTCCTCTTACACTGGTGCTTTCCTGGGTTCAGACCCCAGGAGGCCCAGATCCCTCCTGTTTCCCCTCCAGCTCCTCTGCTCAGCGTTGCCCCCAGGAATCCCAGAGATGCTCACCCTGCTTGGAGTCAGGTGAATGGATTTGATTCACAACCCACTCAGAAGTTGAAATCCTTCCTTGTGATGCTTCAATGTGCAACAGTAGTACCAGATTTCTAGTTCCCTAGACTGGATGCATTTCTCTGTGGCAAATCTTTGTTCTGAAACAGAAGAGGAGGCAATGTTGAAAAAGGCCTATCAGGTTCTTGGCCTGTACTTCTTGCGCTAAATAGTGACCACCCCCACCACTTGGGATCAAAATCATGCTCCAAGCTGAGGGGGTTTGCACTAAACAAGAGCCCACTCTAGGTTTACAGGGCAATTTTACTAATTTCTCCAATATCATTATTAACTTTGGATCCGCATCCTATATGTACAATATTTACTTTTAGAACAAAGTGGAAGTGTGTAAGATCTCAAAATTATCAAGCTCCATTGTAGCTAAATATCTCCTTTCACCAGCAATCTAACTGAAGAAAGGAATACTTTATGAAGAACATGCTTTACTAACTTGTACTGCACCTCAGACCCCAACCCTTGACATATTTGGCTAAAGTGATCAAGCTGAATCATGCTCATATAAGCCACTCCAATCCATGCTGAGCTTTTCATCAAGTTTAACCTGCCCCAATCCCCTTGCATCCTGTGTGTTCTTTGCAATATCTATTGTGTGTGAAGAAATGCCGATGGTTGGGTAGCCCATTCATGCACAATAGTGTGGTAACTAGAGAAACTTGCTGTAGAAGTGGACAACAAGAGATAGAGGGACCCCAACAGGACAACCTAGAGGTGCCTTGGCCAACACAGAGATATCCTAAACAAGAAAATAAGCCAGGGGAATCCTTATTTGCTACTCTTTTAAGCTCTTGTGTTTACGGATGTCCAATTTTAAAGCTTTGGGAAAGACTGCAGCCTACAGTCAAGGAATGGCAAGGGGTAGGTAGATGGGTCATGGCAAGAGCCAAGTTAAGGGAAGAAGCTTAAAAGCACAAGATGGATCCAGAAAAGAGATGACTGATCAACCATTTTGTCATCTTGGCCTAGATTCTAGATTCCAAGCTTTCTAGGTAATGCTGACTGATTGCAAACAACACACACTGTAGGAGTGGACTTATTGGCTTTGGGTCAAGGATGTCCCTTCCATAGTCTCAGGTGTGAGTGACTATTTGTCTCAGAGCAGTGCAAATCATTTATCAATCTACACTGAGGGGTCAGCTGCAAGACCAGAGGATCCAGCCAGAGCAAGTGATCTATGAGAGTTGAGTGGGTTTCAGAAGGTTCAGAAGGTCTATAATCAACTGAATCACAATTAAATTCCATGAGAAACTTCAAGGCTAACTGTAAAACAGATTAAAGATTCTGGCAGCTAGACACAAGATTATTCACACAGTATGAATAAACACTTTATGTTTTTGTCTAAGTTCACGTTATTGGGTGAAACATCACAATGATTGTGAGAGTACACTTACTAACATTTTCTATGAGACCAGTAATAACCTGTTAACAAGGTTGGATAATGATACATCAAGAAAACTGTAGACCCCAGGGAGAAGGATGGGTTGGAAAGAAGGAACCAATTACAAGGATCTACATATAACCTCCTCCCTGGGGGACGGACAACAGAAAAGTGGGTGAAGGGAGACATTGGACAGTGCAAGATATGACAAAATAATAATTTATAAATTATCAAGGGTTCATGAGGGAGTGGGGAGCGGGGAGGGAGGGGGAAAAATGAGAAGCTGATGCCAGGGGTTTAGGTGGAGAACAAATGGTTTGAGAATGATGAGGGCTTTACACAATTGATGTATGTATGGATGGTGATAGAGTTGTATAAGCCCCTAATAAAACGATTTAAAAATAATAATAATAAAAAGATACAAAAAATGCTGAAAGCTGATAAGGACTAAATAAAGGAGGCTGATGCTACAGAAGAGGGTGGAGCTCAGAAAAGGTTCCTGGGAAACAGGTAGCCAAAGAATAGGTAAAAAGATTTGTAATGGTAATAAGAAAAGATAATTCTTTCTTATTAAGAAGGGGGGAAAAAAGCGGGTGGAAGGTAGAGAGAAGAGATTGAGAGCTGGTACATTTGATGGCAAAGAAGTAATTTTTACACAATAGCTTTTATTTCTAAATAAAGAGTTTAAGCATATACGTATAAAAAAAGAAAAAACTGTAGACCAATATTGATAATTGATCTACATGAAAAAGTTCTTGAAAATATTGGGAAGTGAGTCAGAAAACACATTAAAATAATTACATATGATGATTACTTGGAATCTCTCCTAGAGTTGATTTAATATAAGAAAATGAGCACTGTAATGTACCAATTAATGTAAAAAAAAATTAATAATCTAAATAGACACATAAAATATACTAAACAAAGTCAAAGGCTTCTAATGCTAAGAAAAAAAACCCTCTACAAATCTAACATAAAACAGATACAGTACAATATGTTAATATGAAATACATATTCCTAAATATATAATTCCTAATATAAAATATATATTCCTAAAAAGAAAAAGTCAAAATGCCATACTTGAAAAAACATCACCCCACATCAGAAAAAGGACAAACA